GACGCTCCGCCTTCTTGGTGTTGCGGTGCTATTTCGAGTGCTTCCAGGTGTGCGCGACATGCGCGCTAGCGCTGTGGCACTGGATGTGAATTGTCGAAGGGCTGCAGCTCCCATGTCTCGGCACTCCAGGGCCGTGGCGCTGCACCAATTTTGCATCAATTTTTCCACTTTCTTTGTTTCTTCTTCCACAGTGAGATTAGGCTCCATACTCCAACAATAACTGGCCATGGAATTGCCCGCAGCTCTTTGTTTGCTTTGGAAAAATAATTAAATGCTATAACTATTGTAAACAAAAGGAGGAGGGAGAAAATAAAAGAAAAGCCTATTAATTAACAAGTTTTTCCTTTTGGAAGTTAAAGATGAAATAGTAATTTAGTTGGCAATGTTAAAAATAAGTAGACATCACTCGTTATACTGTATTTTTTTTCTTATTAATCAAGTGTCTCAGATGATAGCGTGAGAAATGCTCTGATCTGTTCAGTTCTAGTCCTTAAGATGATAAATTATTGCTACTTACCCAAAATAAAAAATATTTGTACAGACAAATTTCCTAAACTATTAGAGTATGTTTGATTTACAGCTTAAGTTAAGAATTTAAGTTGTGTAAAAATACATTGTAATAAAAAAATTAAATTTAAATTTTTATGAGAAAAAATTACCATAATAATAGAATTTGAGTTGTGAATTGAGTTGTAAAAAGAACAAAACGTTAATCATGTTAAGATATTACCCTATTTAATTGTGGGATATTTACATTTTCATATCCTTTGTTTTACCTTTATTCATGAACTGTACTCTCTATTTTTAATCTCATCAAATATATACCTTTAAAATCTTCTTCAAGAGCCATTGAAATGACCTTAATACCCTTAAAGAGAAAATATATTAAAAAATAACAAATTAAAAAAAAAGGGAAAAAAAATCCGACATTCATCTTCTTCCTCCCTCTTCTAAAAAAAATAAAAAAACTAAATAGAAAACTTAAAAGATCAGATCTGTAAAAATAACATATTCCCTAGTTTCATTTTTCAATTTGTTAGTAATGTCTCACGTTTCATTTTGCACCAGAAATATCAAGAAAATAAACACAACAAACAAGAAAAGATTCCCAATCCCATAACTAAACACCAATCTAATAAAAAATATGCAAAATTGACATTGTTCTTGCTCAAACAAATCAACAAAATTTAACCCTGGCGTGGAAGATTGCAGTGGAGGTGATGAGAGATTAGAGTTTTTGTGTTTTTTATTTTTTTTATTTTTTATTTTATTTGAGGGTATTTCAGGTATTTTAATTTAAATTGAGTATGGATTGAGAAAAAAGTATGAATTTGTGTATTAAATCTAATTTAAATGTATGTATTTGATGTGATTAAAAATTAAAAATATATTTTTTAAATAAAGCTAAAACAGAGGGTATGAAAATATAAATATCTCTTTAATTATTTTGAAATTTAAAATCGATCAAATTGACTTTTATAAGTGCAGCAAGCAATGAATTTATAGTTGTGGGCCTGTGGCAGAGAGTAACTCCTTAAGTTGTGGCAGGCATTCAGATTGCTCAGACTCAGAAGAGTATGGGAATGGCAGGTCGGTGGGATTTCGACAAAGGTTGCACAGAAATTTAAATTACCGAATTATTAGTTGTTCGATATTTATTTTATTTTATTTTTTGTCTTCTCAGTTTCTAAGAGAATGACTTTCCAAAAAATAAATAAAAATGAAAATTTTACAGATTCTATCTGTTGTACATATATATATATATATATTTTTTTTTTTCATTTTGCTTTGATTTTAATATATTACGGTGTTGGCCTTAAATATAGAAAAAAAAAAATTTGTAGTAAAGGTAACAAAAAAAAACCCTATTAATATTGTACAGATCTAAACTATACTAATCACGTACAGTATAATCTTATTATCAATACATGAAATATACATACAAATTTAACGAGACTTCATGACATATATATATTTTTTCATTTTGCTTTGATTTTAATATATTACGGTGTTGGCCTTAAATATAGAAAAAAAAAATTTGTAGTAAAGGTAACAAAAAAAAACCCTATTAATATTGTACAGATCTAAACTATACTAATCACGTACAGTATAATCTTATTATCAATACATGAAATATACATACAAATTTAACGAGACTTCATGACTATTCACGATTTAAAACTATATAGTACTCAATACATGAAAAATACGTACAAATTTAACGAGACTTCAAGACTATTCACGACTTAAAACTATATAGTACTCATAAGACATTTTCTACCCTAAAAATTTCTCTTAAGACACAAAATCTAATGTTAATTTACGCTTTTAACAGTTTTAACTTTTGTCCGATTTGATTTTGAAGCAAAGTTGCTGAGACAACTGCAAAATCAAACGTGCAATTTTGTAGCTTAAATTAGGCTAGGTATCATTTTCGAAGTCTAAATTGTTCACCCTATTACTTTTATGTGTAAATTAAACTTAAATGTTTAAAAAATAAAATATTTGTGTAACAATTCTCTTTTTGCATTCCTCTATTCACTCTAATTTTCTCCCTTCCCATGGATTTATTCCCCAAGACCCTGCGAATTTCAGGCTTTTTAGCCTCTATTTACGAATGGCCCATAAGACGGACTTTAGCCCGTCCGCCCTGAGTACCCTGGGCCGGAAGCCCGGAGATGAAATTGGACCGCTTGGCACTAGACCCATCCAGGGAGAGGCAAACCAGTGAGGTTTGCTAGGGCTAGCCGTTATGTTGTGTCACTGATGTTCTCAAGTCAAGAATGGTAATTAATATTAATTATGCCTTTATGCAGAAAAAAATTACATAAGCACAATTACGTATACGAGTGTGGTTTTAATAGTTACTCTCATATTTACTATCGATGAGTATCGTTATTTTAACCGTAAGATATTGATCTTATGAATGTAATAAATTGGGCAGTCATACCAAAAAAATTTATTACAATTAATGAAATTGAATTCTTATCACGTCACGTCATTAAATTATTTGAGAGACCATTCATGGAGATGCAACCATTGAAAATTCATCCTTTTAAGTATACATAAAAATGCCATATTATTATTTACTCTTGCCATAGTTGCCATGGTTCATATATATGTATTTATATGCTCCTATACAAGGGGAAAGTAAAGTTTAAATGAAGTAGAAGAAATGGCAAACACCGGCCATATTGAGTATATAGCTTATTTGAAGCAACTAATTAGCAAGTAATATAAAAGGGTTAATTACAAATACATCCGTCCATTTTTTACCTTTTGTCACAAATAACCTTTTAGTTTTGAAAATTATAGTTCAATATCATCTAATTTAATCTTCTTTACAAATTCACTAGTTGTTTTTACTTTTTGTTTTTTTTGTTTTTTTGGGCAGGGGTGTTTGTAAAATTAATACATTTAGCCTCAATTTTGACTAAAACCGATGGCAGGGGATGTATTTGAAAAGAAGATTAAATTATAGTCCATCGAATTTTATTTTTCAAAAATAAAAAGTTATTTATGAACAAGTTGATAAAAAGCAGAAGATTTTGTAATTAACCCAATATATAAGTTACTTAGCTAGGAGTTACCAATGTGTCAAATGACTTCCTCCTAACCAAGAGGCAAGTGATCATGGATGGCTGGGCATGAGTGTTACTGAGGCTGCACAGCACAAAATCAGGCTGGTGAAGAGCAAGCGCAATCCGGTCCTCACCAAAAACCAAGCCCGTGGCGTCAAGAAGAACATGCCAAGCATTCCTATGCGCCTCAGAAATCCAATGCATGGAGTATCTTGTGCCATTCACTTTGGCTGGATAGGAGAAGAGTCCCTTGGGGCTGTGCTTGCACTTCTTCCTAAAGTATTGACTAAGTTGTGAACCTTTGATCCTTAAATCCAACCAAGTCTCTGGGGCTGCAATGACCTTTGACTCTTTCAGTACCGCGAATTCCCTTATGCAATCGACTTCATCGTTTATGATTGTCATGTACACGTTTCCTCTGAAGAAAGGGTAGCTTTCTCCTATCATCATCATGGCATCCTTGTAGTTGGCTGTGAAATGAACCGAGTACTCCTCCTCTACCAGCCCAAAGTTCCTCAAGGCGCGGTTCGTGGCTTGAACCTCAGGGATTGACACAAAATTCCCTTCAAATGAGGACTTCTTTGTGAGAATGTCTACGAGTCTTGAAGGCTCCAATTGAGTTTTGTTAAGGTCAGAAAGAATGTTACTACTAAAGGAGAAGGAGGAGAACTCTTTTGTAATTGGGGACTTGGGCTTTTCATGGGGTGGAGTTCCTGAAGATTCCTCATTATTGATGGAGAGGTTTCCAATGTCAAGTTTATCTCCCACTAAACCATTGCTGTATTGTGGGTACTTTGCAAAGACATATTGCTGAACGTATTGCATCTCACTTGGTGTTATTGGACCTGACCACCTCAGGTCAAGGCCAGGGAGTGTTGAAATGGCCTCAGCTATCAAGTGAGCAGGAATTATGGTATGCGCCTTCTGTGATTTAATCGAGTTTTATCATATCAAATTCGAATTTGAAATCCATCAAAGATTTAGAGCATAGCTATTCATTAGTGATGTATCGTCACACGAGTCAGCAAAATAAAAAATTATCACATGACAAAAAGTAAAAGAATTAAATCTTACTATGTGCTTTATTAATTAAGTTTTATCATGTCAATTATCAAATTCAAATTTGAAATGAAACCGTGTAAGATTAAATAGCATGCTATTCATCACTATTGGTAACGCAAAATAAAACCCATGAAAGATATCTTTCATCTTTATCGGTGATGCATCATCACATATGTGTCAATGAAATAGGAAACCGTCACATGACAAAATGTAAAAGAATTAGATCCCAATTTATCCTGCAACAGTTTTAATACACGGCCACCTATGTGTAATTGCATCACTAGTGGTGATAAATAGCGTGTTCAAGATTAAAGCATGAGTTACATGACTAACCTTGATAACCATGCTGCTTGGTCTGCCATCTTGAGTTGGTGACTTTGGTAGAGAAGCCTCCACTTCACCTATTGCATCCTAAAATAGTAGAGAAAGTTGAAACTGTTATATCAGGACTACAACAACTTTAAAAGAAACTAAATAAGCTCAAAATAAAACTGGGAAATCTTTCAAGAATACCTTAAGTTTTCCATCCATGATATCGTTCTCTTCTATGTATCCTCCCATGGTGCCTCCTTTCCTGTACTGAAACTGATAAATTATGAGAGAGAGAGAGAGAGAGAGACAAGGAAATGGGAAAATTAGAGAAAGGTAGATAAGCCTCTGTCACATGGACATATTTTCTGCTTTGAAATTGATGGAGGTATTATAGTACCTCTAAAACCTCACGACAAAGAGAGAAACTCCATCTTTTGACGACAGCATATGGCCCCACACATTTGTTGTATACAAAATGGCAGTTGATTTGATTATAGTCCCTTTTTTTTAGTGCTCATTGATTTTATTCATTTGGATTAGCACAGCAAAATGTTAATATCAATTTGAAAATTTTAATTTGAACTCGTTGTATGTAGTAGTGTCACATAGCGTCGCAGAACCTCCAATTATTCTATAGTTCCATTTCTTTTTCTTGTTCTTCTTTTTTTTTTTTTTATTGAAAAGGAAAATTTCTTTGGAGATGAAATCTCACCATTGAAAATCTTAAAACAACGAGTGAAACGTATGATTAGCAAGCAGATTAGCTTGCTTTATAATTCTTTAGTTACCAACTCACCATATACAATTTATACTTGACAAAATGACCTCTTCTGCTAATCAATTGCAATGCATACATATATGTCAGCATAATATTAATATTATAGAAAGTTGAAACAATGAAATAGCAACAAACATAATATTTTAGTAAGCCACTTGCAATATCTGGTGAGCAAGAATCTTTTGGACTGAAAAGGACAAGTGATGAAGTCAGCATATGACTTTTTTTTTTCTTCTTCTTCTTGGTGCTAGAGACGTCAGCAAGTCAACACATGACTTGGTTTCAGAGACTGCTGATATAATAATGCAAACAAACTTCCACAATCATAGCTTAACCTTTCAAAAAGCGAATCTAATGATGCAATACTGGTTAACACATCGGCCAGAAGGCAGATAGAGTTGAAGGATTGACGTATTAATAGTAATTGAGAAATCTTCAAATGCAACTAAATAATAATAGTCTATTTGCTCTTATTTTCTTAGTGGGGGGTGGGATTAGGTATGCTGATCAACATAACGCTTAAGAATGGTCCAAATCATTCAAATCCAATTCCCAATCTAACAAAGTGATTTATACTTGTATGAAAACTTATCCACCATCTATGCTATTGATATTTGGAATATGCTACAAGCATTTGGGTAGGTTCCTAGATTGGTCCTCATATATTAGTTAAAACATAAAAAGTTGACCAAGAGCAGCAACCTAGAAAATACGTTGGCATGCATTCTCAATATATAATATGTTGCTGAAATGGCATCTTAAGAGTATCTTCAATACAAATACTAATGCTAATTGTATATTTGGCACTAAAAAAATGTTATAATGGTATATCCACATTTTCATATGATGGGGCTAGGGAGGGAACAAAATCATAGAGTTTAAAATCATTAGTAAGAGACGATTAGAAGTTGGAAATTTCATTGTGTGCCTACATTAAAAATTCATTCAGAACCAGCGTGAGTAACACCTAGTTTCAGATAAACTAATTATGCTCATATGCTTCTTGAGCAAATACAAGGATTAAATTAGAACCAAGATTTCTCTGCCCACTGCGACAACATGAATGACTAAGAAAATGCAAACGGACTGACAATAAGCGTTGGCTAAGGGAATTGAAAAACGCACATAGCCAATTACAAAGCCCCAGAAAATTGAAGTTATGTACATAGTATGAGAAACATCCTACAAAAAGTATTTCATCCTGTCATCTCTCCTCATGGCGTTGTAAACAGCTTGAACCTGGAAAGTGCAGCAAAATCCTATGTCAAAGTAGTTTTCTTCACCATAAGTCAAGTGCATCTTGGTTATAAAAGTATATGTATATCATTGCCTTATTTCTATGCGCGCACGCGCATGTACGTGAGAGAGAGAGAGAGAGAGAGAGAGAGAGAGTGAGAGAGAGAGGGAGGGAGACCTGTTCACTAGAAATTACTTGAACAGGTCCAATGTTTACAGATACATATTTGCCCCTTGACGATAACTTATGTCTCACGCGGCCCTGTTATGAAAACATAAAAGTAAGTGGTAGTTTGATAGTTAGTTCCCTTATTTTGTGAGCGGATTAGACTAGATACAACAAATGATAAAATTTGGATTAAAATAATCACTAGCAGCTAAGAACTACATACTTTGTCTGTCTTGATATTATTATAAGCTTTGTAGGCGATCAATTTCGTCATGCAGTAAATTAACAAAGTAAAACAATTACAAATAGATTCAAGTATAGCCGAGAAAAACCAGACACCGTTTAGATCGTCTGGTCAGGTCATGTCAAATCAATAGGCAGAGTTAACCACAGTTAACGGCCTGCACTACTAGCCTGTGTTTCTCTCATTGCTCTATTTAACTGTCCTGAGTTTACATTCAAGAGGCACTTTTTCGTCCTATTTAGCTGGGCCTAACCTAAGCCAATCACATCAAGTCATCAACACTCTTAATACAGGGACGGACAAAGTGTTTAGAAAAACTACAAAAAATGTAATTTGCAGTGATGAAATTCATCAATCGTTATTTCAATAAAATTACATCCTTCCGACTATTAACCAGTGTATGCAACTATGTGAGTTAGTGATAGCTAAACGCTCATAGTAGCAAAACTGAATACATTTCAAACACAGGTCAAATTCTTCATGCCTTACCCATATTCTTCATGCACTCTTAACTCGGAAATATTTTTCTCATCACCAGCTAATGAACACTCACAAATTGCACCCGCACTTCCCCTTAAAATTCATTAATTACTTGGGTTCTATGATATATCCTGTGCTTGAGGCAACAAGCACCCGTGTCAATAGCTGTCATGTATTGCTAGGTAGGAGGCCTAAGACGTTATTTGGTAGGAAGGCCAGGTAGAAAAGTTCCCCAGGTGAAGGAATTGGAGAGGGAGGAAGAGTACCTTTCTCTTATCGTGTTTGTTTGGTATATATATGCAAGGGAAGGAAAAGAAACGAATTTTTGCATAATTTATCCATAGATGGTCATCTCCCTTCACTTATAAGAGGTAGTAAAGTAATTTGACACCATAGTCTAATTTACTGGATAAGTTCTGTCTAGTAATCCCTCCAAGTTAGGAGGCATCAAAATTGTGATTCTTTAAGACACTTGAAACCCTCACCAAATCCATTCCGTCCTCTACAGCTTCCTACAAAATAGCCACAAGTCCTAAATCCTACAAATCCCCTCCCCTATCCTTTCGACCACTTCTCTATTTTAACAAACAAGCTCTTAGTCTTCACATTCACTATTCCACTTAAAAGCTAATAATTTGTGGTTTGGATTCCTATTAACTCTTCTCTATAGTGCAACATTCACATTTTTTTATCAAATAATTTAATCAACATCAGCGAAAATCATACCTCGGGAATAGGTTCTTGTATTACTGATTCAACGGCAAACACCATGGCTTGTACAAAATCCTCACCTCCTGTACCAATTGCAGTAAATCCCCTACCCATTGGATACGAATTCACCTGTTGATTAAGCAAATCATCAGATTAAGCCCGACAAATAAGCAATTAATCATCAAAACAACAATCAAACAGAAATTAAATAGACACCTTCTGGTCCAATTCGAGCCATTCGTTTGTAGAATCATCAGTCACCGTACCTCCAATGACCACATTCGTCGTCTGCCCAACCCTACCTTCCGTCTTAGAAACCTCTGCTTCAAATTTCATTGCCAAGTCAAACCAAACAACAATCCAACGAATATGAAAACATTGAAGAAACAGAAAATCGAAAAATGAAAAGAGGCAAGACCTGAAATGGCTTTCAGAACTGCTTCCTGAGGCGGACCTTGTTCGTCCTGAGACGAAGACGATGACCACGATTTTGGGGTTTCGTTGTGGCAACATCTGAGGAGAATCCCTTTCGCCGGGTGAGAATCTCGAGCCCTAGAGATACTGAAATTTCCGGCGATACCGGTCGCCGGAGAGCTGAAAATCCTGAAAGAAGCCAAAACGGAGCTCCGACGAAGATTGACGGGTCGCCATGGCTCCGTTAGCAGCACCGAACGAAACACAACAGTTCTGCACGCCATTTCTGGTCCTCTTTTTCGATTGAACGATTCTCCGGTTTTTCAGATTGTATATATCTCCGTGAATTTGTTTATTTTTTCCTAATTGCACTGAAAATTGAATATCTTTTCTTGCTGATATGGGGCGTCCTTGGAAGCTGTTATATCTCTATGGTCAAAATACAAATTTGCCCTTAGCTCATAAAGGATACAGTCTCAAGGAAAGTCTTTAATTGTATTTTCATGAGACTATTTAGATGGGTAATTAACAATATGGAGTGTTTGTATTGTATCACCTTTCATAAGTCCTTTTTTTTTGTTTTTTGTTTTTTGTTGCTGATCAAAACTTTCATAAGTCCGTTTAAAAGCGGGTAAAAATTCTGGCAATTTTGGTTTTCTTTTCTCGGTTTATTTTTCAAGCAATTTATCGGGGGTTTTAGACCACGAAAAGCTTTTCATTATAATTTTCTTTTTTTTATGCTCAATGCTAGCAACTTTTCAATTTATTAACACACCAAAAAATTTCATTATACTCTATCAAAACCCCCCCCCTTATGCTACGCTTCTGCTTTTATTTCGTTTTATTTACGACAAGATTACGAAAAATATGTCGTTTTAATGTGAAAATACTACTAAAAACTGCATATCGTTTGTAAAGATGCACCACGAACAAAACAATAACAACACATGTCGTATTCAAGGATAGGACATCATCTAGAAACGACAGTTGTTTTATAAAAAAACAAAGAGTTCTATGTATTCCAGCGACAAGGACTGTGCTATCGCTGATATATGCTGATCAGGGGTTATTTTATTGGGAGATTCGTATCCGATTTAAATTATGGTTCATGATTCGCTATAATATTTTCTCTTATAAAAAATACACGTAAATAAAAAATAGTTATAATCTTATGATTCTAATTTATGAACCACCAGCGACAGGGACTGTGCTATCGCTGATATATGCTTATCAATAAGGGGTTATTTTGTTGAGAGATTCATACCCTAATTTAAATTATAGTTCATGATTCGCTATAATATTTTCTCTTATAAAAAATACACGTAAATA